CCCCAAAACCCCAAAACCCCAAAACCCCAAAACCCCAAGATTTACTAATTTCGCTGAAATTCAGATTACAAATCAGACTTAGTCAGTAAGTGTATACTATTTTGGATGATACTTCAGACTTTCAGAATACAGTTCTCTCTTAAGTCTATTGATTGACATATTTTTGAAATCCCTCCAATCCCAAGGAAATTGATCTGTGCATTCAGGATTTTCCTCTTCCTTGAATTCCTCAAGGAAAGGATGCTTGAGGAGGTCCCCTGTAGTTGCTCTCTCTGATGGGGTAATTTTTAGACACTTCAGCATGAAATCAATAGCTGATGGGCTAGCATTCGGAACTAGCGTTTTGAAATCACCCTTACGAGTCTTTTTAAGCTTTTTCATATACTTCAGGGTTTTCTTATTTTCAATCATAGAGAGGTAATCGTCTGAAGGATAACCTAGATACTTAATGATCAAAGAGATATGATCCAGATGATCCATGGAATGAAACAGGACAGATCTTTTGACCATCTCTCCTAAGATTCAGCCAAGACTCCAGATATCTTTTGATCGAGAGTCTGTTTTTATCCCTAGTATTTTCTCTAATGATTTATGCCAGTAGCTAGGAATTCATTCTGTTGAAATTATTCCTAAATCCGACAGGTCAATATGACCAAGTTCTGAAATCTTCAAATCTCAGTTTCTGTTTAAGCTAATGTTTTGAGGAGAAAGATTTCCATGACTAATCCCTGCAGAATGGATGTAATGCAGTCCTCTCACGATCTGGAATATAAAGTACTGCAGATGCTCTTCTGATAAATGTTGTCGTGATGCAATGACTCTAGCTAAGTTTGTTTCCATTGACTGACTCACAATGTAGAAGTCTTTAAAATCCTTCCTCTCAATAGGCTTTGGGATATCCAAAATTTTAAGAATATTCTCATGTTCAAAGAAAGTGTGTAATTTGATCTTATACAGGACCAATAGAAGTCCTGCTTTATCGAGTTCATAGGCACAAATTTTTTCGATATCAACATTTCTATTCCTGATTTTATCATTTGCTGTGATTGTGCAGTAAAACCCGAGTCTTTTTAGTTTCAGGAACTCGTATCTCTTGTCAACTATGAACTCTTGGTAATCTACAGTGAATGAGTGCATATGCCTGGGAATTTTAGGTTTTATTGGCTTTTTAGGAGCTGAGATTGACTCCATTTGAGTAAAATTATAATATGATATTATATTGGGATTTTAGGGGTTTTGGGGTTTTGGGGTTTTGGGGTTTTGGGG